ATCTCTGGCAAGAGCCGTTCTTCTGTCTACTGCAGCTCCTGGGACGCTCAAATTCACAACCCTAAGGGCCCGCAGAGCACCTCTGGGGGCCGGCTGTGTTTGGGGTCACGGTCACGTGGGTGGTGCTGAAGCAGAGGCCGCGCATGAAACCCCTCAGGGGCTGGGGCACGGCTCCCGCAGCGGCACCAGTGCACGCAGGCTGCCACTCAGCTCAGGCGGCTCACCCCAAGACCCAAGGAAGGAGGTAGACCCCACGACCCAGCCCACGCTGACACTGCCCGCTGTCCTTCCCCGGTGTCCCGAACTGCTCTTCCTGGCCCGGCTACACTCAGAGCTCGGCCCTTGGGGGCGACTTGCTCCCCACACCCTAGACCGTTCCTCGGGTGGTTTCTGTGTTTCGTGCCTCCCTTCTCCTAACAACTTCTGTCTTCAGCACATTGTTTTCAAGATTTTATTTACTCATTTGACAGAGAGAGATCACAAGTAGGAGGAGAGGCAGGCGGGGTGGGGGGAAGCAGGCTCCCTGCTGAGCAGAGAGCTCAAATCGGGGCTCGATCCCAGAACCCCGAGACCATCACCCGAGCCGAAGGCAGAAGCTTCACCCACTCAAGCACCCAGGTGCCCCCATACCTTCTATGTCTTTAACTCTGTGGTGGCCCTTTCTTTCTGCAGAGTCCCAGAGCTCTATCCTACGATTCCATAAGCTGTGGATACCCGAGGTTCCTAGAGGGCAGAGACTGGGTCTCCCCAACTCCCACCACCTGTGCATTCAGCTCAGAGCCTGACCCAGAGGGGACATCCTGCAAATCAGTTTGCGGGAGGCAGAGAGGAGTGAACCACGCGGATGCTCACGGGGCCCAGCCCAGGAGAGTGAGGAGGAGAGGACGAGATAATGTCTCCACTTCTGTCACCCGCCTACAACCAAGAAGAGCAGGAGGCCGCTCACTCGGGACATTGGTGGGTGGGGCTGTGGGAGGGGGTGGACTGGAGGGAAGGGGAAGGCGGAGGCAGATGGAGGAGCCAGGAGGAGCGAATCGTCATCTGGCTTGTCCGTTGGTCCATCAGGAAAAACTCCTTCTTTGTCTACAACCTCAGTCTCTCCACGGTGGACCCCATGCATCCAGGCTTGCAGACCGTGTTCCGTGTGGGGCGGATCCGCAAGACTTCCCTCCAGCGCTGCTCTCGTCCCTCCAGGATCTGTAGGACACTGAGCTTCTCCTATTTCACTGGGTTGGGTATCGTGATGGCCATCAGCTTCCAGCATTGTCTGTCTGTCCTCTTCCCTAGCTGGTACCGGTGCCCTTGTCCTAAGCACCAGCCACGGCGAGCGTCTTCCTCTGGCTCCTGACCTTTTGGATGCGTATTCTGTGAGGCTACGCTGCCGTCCGCCGTCCCTCCAGATGGCTGGTTTCCGCTCTGCAATTGTCACCATCCCCAGCGTGTGGACTGTCCTCCTCTCGGTCACGGGCATGTCCAGCCTGCTGCTGTCCCTCCACATCCAGCTGCTGGACCCCATGCTCACATCTCCTGGATCTCCCCGGTCGTGAACCCCGCAGGCCCAAAGCTGGGGGGCTGCCAATGGGGTCCGTGCCAGCACCTCTGGCGCGTCCAGAAACCATCCTTAGAGAAGAACCTCCCTGGGACCCCAGGGCCACATCGGCTCACAGAGCAGCTGGGACTGTCGGGTCTTTATCTCTGGGCCCACAGGTGGGGAATCGAATTCTCCTCCAAGAGTCAACTGCTTCGTGGCTTTAGGAAATGGCTCTGGCAGCAGCACCGGAGCTGGGCAGGGGGAGACCGGGGCACCGGTGTGCTCAGGTGGGGCCCTGGGAGGGGCTCTCTGGGGCCTCTTTCTAGGCCACGAAGCCTGCTCCTGGGGGCCGCCCCCCTGAGGCCCCACCTCCTCATGCTGTCACCTTGGGGTCAGCATTTCAACCCCTGGTTTTGGGGGGGCTCACTCAGACCATAGCAACGGGCTTCTGGGGTTCTCTGGGGCTAAAGCTTTTTGGGAAAGAGCAGTAAAATGGCTTTGCTTCCTGTGGAAAAGGCCATCTTCAGGGTGGCTTGGGTCGGGAAGTAACAGGCCTCTGGGGCTGGGGGATGAGAAGTGGTTTTGCTCCTGGCTTGGGCGGGGGGCGGTCCTGGACTCCAGGGATGGACACCCTCTTATGGGCCAACCTTTGGGGAAGGAGAGAAACGTCCCTCCCTCTGCTTGGGCCCACATCTTAGGTGCAACCCAATTCATGTTGCGGGGCCCTTGCTGTCACTGTGGGAAGCTGACGGTGGAGCCTGTGGCTGCACCCTGAGGAGAGTCCACCTGGGACAGGAGGGGGAGCCCTCCCAGGGCGCAGGCCTGGACCAGGGCGTGCGGGAGGGCTGTGTGTTGCTTGGGGACTCCCTCTCCGCTCTTACTGCCTCTCAAACACCTCCTGGTCCTCCTCTGTGGGGGGCCCCCAGGCTGCAGCTAACTGGTTCAGGGATGGGCGATACGACCCAGCAAGAAGACACAGGCACTGATTTCCTGCTGCACTGAAACCAGGGACTTGGCAAGGCGGAGGTCATAGGGCCCTGACGTGGATCAGGAAGGGAGCCAGCAGAGGCAGAGGAGCCAAGCAGGGCAGGGGGAGGAGAGGACCAAGTTCTAAGGACATGGGCATACCCTGGATCCAGCCAGACCTGAACCCAGTCAGAGCCCTGTACTATCCTCCATGTTAACCAATAAATTCCTCTCCTTACTTACAAGTTTCTTTTCTTAGGGACGGCTTCTGGGCAGGGAGAGCAGCACAGACCCCTGACTGCCCCCTCCCCAGCCCTGGGGGGGACTGTGAGTGTGTGTGGCCCACCCCATCTCAGCTTCACTCTGTAGCAGGGAGGGTGATCCCCTGGGGCTTAGGGCCCAGAGAGAGGATTCGGAGAACCGGGGGAGACTTGGAGGGGATGGACGAGGCGGGCTCTTCGTCCCTCCACATATGCAGAGTCTGCTCCAGAAACAACACTGTCTTTATTTGAGCCTTTCTTGAAGGCACTAGAACAGACAGATCCCTCTCCCGTGAGATAGGAAACAAGAGGCTGGCGTGGTCTTCCAGCCCGGGTGGCTGGGCCCCCACCCACGGTCCCCAGTGAGGCCCGAGTAGCACACGGCCGCCTCACGGGAGGGGCCCTCTGTGCAGGATCGGCGTCAGTCCACCCCGTCCAGGTCCTGCTGGCCTCTGCTCTCAAGCTGGACAACCTAGAAGGAGAGGTCACGTGAGTGGCCACACGGTCGAAACCTAGCGGTTCTCCCTGAATGAGGTGGCGGTCACGGGACTGGATAAGCAGCCGTGAGCCGTCCCCACGATCTGCGAGGGTGCGGGAAGGACACAGAGCACGTGCGCTGGACGAGTCTGGGTGACGGTCCCTGCGGCACGAGATACAGTGGACTGTATCTCTGCCCACGTGTGTCTTCTGAGGCGTCGACACCTGCACGACCTCTGAACCCCATTCCTAATTTGGGGGAACCCATCGGGGCCATCCTGGGCACTGCCGGAAGCCAGTGTCGTCCCCGCACTCTGCCCACCAGAGGCCAGTGAAACAGACAACCCCCCAGGCGTGATCCCCGGGAACGTCTCCAGACAAGGCCTGCTGTCCCCCAGTGTGACCCCGCCCCTGAGAACTGAGGGCTGGACATGAGTCTGACTCGGGGTGACTCCTCTGCATCCACGTCATCTACGCAGACGCCTCCCTCAATCACCAGATAGACGGTGCGTCCATTGAGTCCGTTGCGATCGCTGGCGCAACACGGCCCTCGTCTCTGCTCATCGTGGTCAGTGTATTGGGGCTCCCCGCAGGCCAGCCTCCCTCCCATGGGCTACACTACCTGTACCGGGGGGTGCGACCCACGGTCACCGGACTCCAGCACTGGGCTTGGAAAGGGCAGGCGGGCCTTGCCTTGTAAGCTGGTCTTACTAATCCCTCCTTCGCCACATAATCACTAACCAGAAGAGGAACGGCGAGACCGGGCAGCTTACAAGACGTGAGCCCGGCCGGATGCCGGAGCTGTCTGGAAGCGACAGCGAGGGCCCCGTCCCCATGGCTGCTCCTGTGAGTAACACAGTAGGAACAGCACACGCCCAACGCTCGTCCCTTGGCGGACACAAGGACAGTCATGACACCGCCGCCCACAGAAAGCTTTCCAGCCCTCAGCGGGAGCCAGCCAGCGTCTCCGGGACAGACGCCAGAAGTGGGGAAGCACCTGCGTCCAACTCACCGCATCCTCCACGCACCGGAACTGCCAGGGCCAGCCCGCGCGGTACAGGAACGGCCGCAGGTCAAACCTGTTGTCATCGGGGCTGTAGCTCTCCGCGTGGTAGGCGGGCGTCAGCGTGGTCATTTTGTGTCTGTTCGCCGCGTACTTGGAGAAGAAGCGCCTCACCCTGTCAGCCACCTGGTGGGTGAGGACAGACGGGGCCGCGGGGCGTAGGGACCCAAGCCGGGACTCCCGCTCACCTCACACTGCACACACTAGCACCCCCCGTGTTCCAGCTACCCCCCGGCAGCCGCAGACGAATGTCCCCGTCCCAGGGTGGCTGGGGGGGGTCCCACGTGGCCCAGGACGCCGCATCAGTGGAGCTGAGCAGGGCACGCGGGAGGACACGCGGCGAGAAGACTCCAAGCGATTCCGTGGGGACCACCATGTGAGCCGACAGCGGGCCGTGGCCCCACGCAGAGGACCTGACAACTGGGCGCTGGTGTCATGGGCGACAGAGCGCCACCATTTCAGGCCACGCAGGCCGACTTGCTGCCCCCAGCCAGACCATCCCCGCGGGGACCGAGTCTGCGGCTCCCTCTGCGGATCCGTGCGCGCCGTACCTGCCGCGGGGAGCACACGTCCTTCCACATGGTGACGAGCCTGCAGAACATGCTGTAGGGCCCGGACTTCGCGACCTTCCGGAGCCGGCCGTAGACGGACAGCTCCGCGTACGTCATGCCCATGTCTTCCTGCCGAGGAGGGAGAGGCAGTGGGCTGGTGCTGGAGGCGAGCTTGGGGTTCCCGCGGCCGGTGGGCCTGGGGCCGGGGGGGGGCGGGTCCCCACAAGGCCAGGAGCAGACGTGAGGTCTCACTCCCCCTCACCACCCGGTGCCATGGAGCTGGCATTTGGAAAAAGGACTGGCCTGGTTCTGAGGGCTGGGGGACTGAGGTCTGTCCACGCTTCAAGCCCCAGAACCTACAAACTGTGGGTTTATTTGGGAAAATAAAGGTTTTTATAGATGTAACGGAGTGAAGGAGCTGGAGATGAGCTGGCCCTGGACGTAGGGAGCTTTTGTACGAGATGGAACGGGACGCATGGGGAGAAGCTGCATGAAGACAGGATGGGGGATGTGGTCGCAGCCCAGGAAGCCCTGGGAGCTGGACGAAGGACCCCCCTTGGAGTGTCCTGGCAGGGAGCAGGGCCTGCAGATGACCTGATTTCGGCCTCCAGCACAACGAGAGGGTAGCGGTCCGTCGTTTAAGCTGCTGGCCTGGGGGTTTGGCTCCAGCATCCCCAGGAGGCTGATGCCAGGACCAAGGTCAGGCGGGGCAGCCCGACAGACCAGCCCTGCGCCCTGCCTCAGGGATCCTGCTGTCCCTAAGGATGGATGGCTCAGCACAGACTCCTGGGTCATGCCGGCCATGAGACGTCCCTAGCATGGTATGAAAGAGCCAGCCTCACACGGAGGCTCACATAAACCCCTCTTGCATTTCCGAGTATTTGCTCTAATCCCCTCTCAACTCCCACTGTGCCCCAGAATATGCAACCAGAGCTAACGACAGACCGACCGACGGTGGCACTGGCCTTTCCGGGGAACAGCAGGACAGCCCTCACCTCCATCCAGGGTCTGCAGGACCCCCAGTGACCAGGCCCTCCTTCCTGCTCCCCACCGCCCACCTAGTCTTCCTCAGGCCTCAGCTCCAATGTCACTTCCTTGGGGAGGCCTGTCCTGCCCCCATCAGAGGGACACAGTCACCTTCGGGGCACCCAGGTCCATGTGTGGGCAATACCAGGAGACACCTGGGGCTCTTATGGTTACCTCCCACTCATCTGTCCCGGAGACTCACACAGATGGCAGGACCAGCTAGCTCAATGCTGAGCTCCAGGGCCCAGCGGGTCCCGTCAGGGACCTCCTTCAGCGCCCGCTTCTACGTGAATGTTTGCCAGCGCGACACTTGAATTCTCTAGATTCAACAGTAGCACTTGGAAGCTTTAACACCCTTTTCAGTGAGGCACAGAACTGAACCAGAAAACCGACAAGGGGATGGAAAACTCCAACCCTACAAACGAATGAGCCCTAAGCAACCTCTCTAGAACATTCTGCCCACGACCACAGAGCACACGTTCTCCTCGAGGCACACGGGACGTTCTCCAGGACAGACCAGATGCCAGGCCATAAAACCGGCCTCTATGAATTTCAGAACACTGGAAAAGCCTGCTCCCAACCGTAAAGGAAAAGGGCGACAGACTTGGGGACACACGGAAAGTTCAGAAACCCCCAAATACGCGGGATTCCAACTGCATACTCTCAAGTAGCCAACAGGTGAGAAGAAATCACGGGGGAAGTCAGATCTTGCCCGGAGGTGCACGAAAATGACAACGAGGAATAGCACGGCATCTGGGGCGCAGGGGCACGTCTGTAAGGGAGGATTTATTCAGAGAGAAGCCCTCACTTCGCTCGTCGTGCCCCACGGGGAGAAGCGTGAGCTGACTGTCAAGCACACGGTGGGAGACGAGAAAGAGAAGATGGAAAGGGGCTGCAGGACGTCAGGTGCTTCCCGACACTGGAGACAAGCCAGCGGCTCAGGAAACCCGGAAAACAATTCCGTTCAAGGGAGGGCAAAGGAGAAAACGTGCTTAGAAACGAATAACGAAACAAGTGCAGGTTCACGCTCTGAAAACTGCAAGACCTTGAGGCCATAAGAAGCCCAGAGTGAGGAGGGAGACGCCACACCAGGCCTCAGAGGCCGTGTTCTCTGGGGGCGACACCCGCCAAGCCCAGCTGTGCTCTCGGCACACCTGCCGTGGAGACCCAAGCTGGCGCCGTGTGTGCGGCAGAAGACGACACTCAAACGGGCGTCCAGGGGGCCAGAGCAGCTGGAATATGTTGAAAGAGAGGGACGAAACGGGAGGACTCCCACTTGCCGACGTCAGAACTTCCTACCAAGCTGCGGTGGCCCAGGGGATGCGGCCCTGGGGGGGACGGACCCGCGGGTTGGCGGAGTCTGGAACTAGATCCGCACACAGACCCCTGATTTCCACCCGGATGCGGAGACGCTTGTGGGAGCAAGACCGTCCCAGCAGCAAACAGCGCCGGGTGCCAGACGGGCAAGTGTGATCCCTTCCTCACACCACACACTGAGACAAACCAACAAGGTCACGGATTCAAAATGCGAGTCACACGACAAACTCTCGGGAGGAGCACAGGTGAGTCTCGGTGGCCGCAGGCGCTGGCAGTAGGACGGTCAGTTGCAACACTCTGCGACGGCCCACAGCCACGGAAGCGGCGCCCCACTGCCGATGGCCCGACTGCCCCTCCTGGATCGCAGGCCAGCTTCGAATGGAGGGGACAAGAACGGTTCGAGCTCGCACCCCTCCCACCTGCGAGAGACCTTCCCCACTCGCCCCTCCTCCAGGGCATCCGCCTCAAGAAGGCCCAAAGCAGCAGTGGGACAGGCACCGAGCCCTGGGCTCCCTGGTTGCTCGGGGCAGTAAGGAGGCCGTGGGGGAGCCCAGCTCGGACTTGAGGATGCAGGGACATGGGGAACGGGGACAGAGCTGCCAGCACTACCTCGTCCGTCTGGGACACCTGGCCGTTAGTCAAGGGCTCCAGCTCTGCGGTGGCCGGTGCTGCCAGGATGCTGTGGCCAAGACACACAGGTCAGTCGTCACGGCTGCCACAGTGCTCGTGGGCACGGGGAGATGACCCCCACACCAGCTGCCCACGCTCACGGGCCAGCCTCCTGCAACTCCCCTGCCGACCCTGAGCGGGCTGGTTGGGCTGGGCTTTCCTGGGGAGCCGGACGTGGATGTCGGGGGGTTCACACCGGGGGCAGGAGCCGCTGGCAGAGGCTGCCCCACGGGGCTTCCCCGCCCAAGCACCGTCCACATTCAGGGCAGGTCATGCGTCCATGCGGGGCCGTCCTGGGGGCACCTTCCCACTAGGTGCCAGGGGCACACTCGGCTGCCGTCACCAACAAGGTCTCGAGACATTGCCCAGTGTCCCCGGGGGCCACCTGGTCACGAGACCCCACATGCCCACTGAAGGGCAGAGCTGTTTCCATCAGGCAGGAGGGAGCTGCGGCATGGGGTGATGGGGGGGCACGACCACGTCACGCGAGAGGCACTCACCCCTGCAGGGCGGGAAGCTGGAAGCGTTCCACGCAGAACTGGACAAAGGCCTTCAGGTCTGTCTTGCTGATACCACCAATGGGGTTGACGTCTGCACTGGAGCAGTCGTACTTGGTCAGGTAGCCAAGGAGGCTGTGGGAGTGAGCACAGGGTTTCCACGGGGCTGACCTGAGGGGCCACAGATCCTGCCTGGGCTCCGGCCCCTCGTCCACACCCAGAGCCGGAGCTCGGCCGCTCAGAGCCGTCCGCAAATGGGCAGAGCCAGCAGATGACCGCAGGGCAGTACTCAGCAGCCCCGAGAAGGCGTGGGGGCCGGGAGACGGGCCTGGGAATGCTGAGCCCCCGGCTGGGAGCAGCACGTCTGAAGGGCGGGCGGCAGAACGGGAGGGCGTGGGGAGGTGCTGAGGGCTGAGTCCTTAGGAGCCTGTGGGGGCCGGGCCGGGTCTCCACGCCCGTCAGCAGCCCCCCGCCCCCCGTCAGATATCTCCTGTGGGGCAGGGTAGTCCCGAAACACACCCTCATCCTCTGCCCAGAACCTGTGAACTCGGGACCCCGAGGGCATCAGGGACTCAGCTGAGGACTGCAGGTGAGGTCCTTATCCTGGACTGTCTGGGTGGGGGGGGGGCAAGTGCACTCACAAGCATCCTTACAGGTCTAGCTGGGAGGCGGGGGGCAGAGTCGGGAGCTGAGAGGGAGGTGGAGACGCTGCCCTGCCAACACCTTGAGTTTAGCCCGGTGAGATCCGCACTGAGCTTGGGCCCCATGGATCGGTGAGAGGGCACTGCGGGCTTGACCCGGGGACTCCTAGTCAGTCGTGACCCACGCCCTCCAGCGGATGCCTCCCTCTGTAGCCACCCCTGGATGGCAGGTCTCCACCCTATCCCCAGCGCCCCCACCGCCCCTACCCCCACCCCACAAAGAGTTTCCTAACCCCGCCACGTGCCCCCAAACCCCCTTGCTGGTGCCCTTCTGGGCCTAGCCTCTGCCTGTACCAGCCTAGCTCACAGTTCAACTCCAGCCCGGACATAGCCGCTGGCTCCGCCTGACCGTCCCGCATCCAGTCTGGCTGCAAACACAGCTGTCCCACGAGCACGGGGTCCCTCCACCCACATATCTGACCCTCTCCTGCTGCTCAAGAGAAAGACCCAGCTCTCGTTCCTCCGGACTCCTCCCGGAGAGCAGGGCCTCGGGCGTAAGAGCCCCAGGGCACCAAGCAGAGGGGTGGGTAAAACCTGGTGCCTCCTTGAATGGGGCTCCCCCTGACCCCGAGGTGCTCCCTGCCCTGTTGAAAGGGTGGCTGAGTGGGGACAGGGTCTTCTGGCCGAAGGGACAACGGGCTCCATTCCACCACATGCCTCTGCCCGCCCGCCCCAAGACGCACTGGGAGATGACCATGTTGGGGACAGACCCTGCGGGTGAGACCCCTCAGGGCAAGGCTCTGGCCTGGTCTGGGTCTTAGCACAAAAGCCTGGAGGTAAGTCCCGTTAGCACACAGGCTGGACCTCAGGACGGCTTTGCTCAAGGCGGCCCTGTCCTGGACTGAATGTCTGGGCTTCCCCCAAAGTCACAGGCTGAAGCCCGCCCCTCAGTGTGACCATCTAGACGTGGGTCCTCGGGAGGTCACGTGGCTAATGGAGGTCACGAGGGTGAGGCCCTGACCCCCGAGGCCCGGCGTCCTCACCAGGAGGGACGTCAGGCTTCTCCCAGGCTGCTGCGTGAGGGCGCTGGGAGGAGGCGCATCCGCAGGCCAGGGAGGGGCGTCGCCAGGGATGGAGTGGGGGCGCGCTGACGGCCGGCTGCTGCCCCGGGGGGCCGGGCTCTCACCCCAGCTCGCTGTCCCACTGTGGCACCCGCAGGCGGGGACAGTCCACTAACAGGCAGGTTCACAAGCCCCAAAGACCAACCCCTTGCACGCGCGTGAGCCCAGGTACCGCCCTACGGCCCCTGCCTTCCCACTCTCCCAGGCCCATGCTCCCCTGCCCCCTAGGCCGCACCTGCTGGGGCCGCATCCGCTCCCCTCTGGCTCGGGCTCAAGCCTTCGCCGCCAGCCCCCTGCCGTGCCTCCCCGCACCGGAGCAACAAGCACAGCAGCCCCCCCGCCCGCTCTGGGCGCCCGTCCTCTCGGGTCTGCAGCCCTGGCGGGCTGCTCCCCCTCATATCAGGAATCTGGGCCCCACACCCACTCCCTTCTCCATCAACGTTCAGCCCCAGGGCCCAGATGCTCCTGTACCTTAAGCAGCATTTCGCCATCTACAGGCTCCAATTTAGGGGTGCGGCTCGCCTCTGGACTCCAGAGTCTCCGTCTAACTGCCCACACACGTCCACGGGGGCGTCTGGAGAAGTGTCAAAGCTGACATTCCCTACTCGGGACCCTGACGTCCCCACCCACTTCCTGCGCCAAATGCTGGTCCAGCCTCCAGGGGCTCCGGTCGGCATGGATGTCCTCCCCACACGTCTGGTCCACCAGCAAATCCTGTCGGCTCCCCTCGGACGCCAAAACACCAGGAGCCAAGCCCGCCCGGCCGCCAGCCCCACCCTGCCAGGCCGCGGGAACCGGACGGACAGGAGGCGCACCTACAGTGCCTGTGCATCCCCGACCCACCGGCACCTCCTACAGGGCAGACCGCCCTCCGCTGAGGCCTCGGGGCTCCCCCAGCCGCTCTTGTGCACTCACCCATCACTTCCACTCTGCTGCTGGCCCACCAGGGCCCTGACCTCCCCTCAGCCTCCTGCGTGGGGGACAGAAATGCCTAGAGACCTCAGTGCCTCCCGTGGGCCGTGCTCTGTGCAGAGGAGCGTGCACACTGCGTCCTGGGGGGCTGCTTACGACATCGGACCCAGCTGGCACCCAGGCTTGGGGAGTGTCCCCACCCGTCCCCTAACAAGAAACAGGGCCTCCCTGTTTGGAACTTCTTCGTTCAAACACTGGTGTGTGCTGCCCACTGCTCTCCTTCTGGGAGCGGAAGCTCGGTTTGTGCCGGGGGAAGGCGCCCGTGGGACCAGCCCCGGGCACAAGCCCTGGGCACTGAGCCCCTGACACACCTCCCTGTCGTCACAGGTGTTGCTGGGGAAGGACGCCCATCAGGGACGCCCCCCTGGGAGACAATCTGGAAGCCTGGGCCTGGTTTTCCCCACGTGCCTTCTGCTCTGCGTCCTTGGCTGGACTCGACCACAGCCATGAGTAGCATCCGAGGCTCCGTCTGTCTCCCAGCGAGCACAGGGCACAGGGCTGGCAGCTCACGGCACCAGGACCCAGAGTCTGCGGGTCACCTGTCCTCTGCCTCGTGCTCACCCCTCATCACCTGTCCTTGCGGCTGCCCGGCTCCCACGTCCCTCTCTGCCACCGTCGCCTGGCCCCCGGCTCCACCCGAGGATGCAGCTGGGCACGGCTGGCGGGAGAGCGTGACCCCACCTCTGGTGCGGCCTTGGCACCGGGGCTCCCGGCCTGGCTCCCCGACCCATCTCGCTCACTTGTCACCACTCCCCTCCAACATCCAACGCCTGTCCTGCGCCCTCTCTCGGCTGGTGACCGCCTCCTGTCTCGCCAAGGAGGGTCATGGGCCCTGACCGTATGCCGCCCCGACCCACGTCTGTGCCGTCTTCTCTGCAGCCTTCCATGGACGCACAAGCCGGGCTCCCAGTAAAGCCAGCCACCACTCGGCCACCTGCTCTCATCTCCTCGTGACACTGAACAGCTGTCCACCCACGTCCCCCTTCCTCATCAGTCACTCTGTTCCCTCCCTGCTAGACCTCGCTCATCGTACCTGCTAGACCTCTCTCATTGTACCTTAAGAAAACACCCTCCCCGTCTCACTGCTCCTGCCAGCTACCACCCCACACCTCCTCTCTCTGGCAGTGTGAAACTTCTAGAAAGAGCTGACCCCCAGTCCCCTCACCCGCTACTCTCCGACCTGCCCCAACTGAGTTCCCAGTACCTCCCTCCGACAAGACGGGCTGTGCAGAGAAGTGACAATTGCTCTCTGTCCTGGTGGGCTCTCACCACAGGACATTTGCACAGGACGTTCTCCTGACTGCATTTCCCTTCCTCCTTTATAAACCAACTTCTCAGAGAGGCCTTCCCTGGCCACCCTACTTAGAAGCCCCAATTCCCAAACTGCCCCCGTGCCTGCCCTGGTTTTCTCTGTAGACATTCCACTTCCTATACACACGATTAGTTTTCCTATTACCGGCCTCCTTCCACTAGAGTAAAATGGGAATTACTTTTCTGTTTTGTTCATGGCACCAAGAAGACACCTGACACGTGACCCACGTTTTATCAGTTCCTCGAAGAGTGAGCAAATCAGAACGTAATGGAACTGAGGTTAGGATGAAAAGTCACATTTAACGGAGAACCAACACAGCAGAGACTGTAGACCGGAGGTCCCCCCCAGGATGCGAGCAACGGGGAGATCGTAGATGGGGACACAGTGAGGGATAGTTGTCCAGCAGGGACAGGAAGCAAACAGAGGAAGGAGAACTGAAACGTGTCTGTGGCTGTAGACAGACTTCTGTGATCCGTAAGAGGCTTGGCAGCAAAAAGTGATGAAAAAGATAAATATGTAAATAGGCACCATGGAGAACCTTTAAGGCCCCAGAAGCCCATTCCCCCGCCCCCGCCGCCAGAAAGAAATCACTGTTGTTGTTTGCTTTGATATTAAATCCCAGGAGACAACGGCGAGCGTTGTGACAGGGAGAGTGCAATGAACTCGTTGCAGCAGCGGCGCCGCATCCACCGTGGCAAGTCAAACCCGCGCGCAAAGGCCGACAGAGCAAAACGCGCCACCATTCTCCACTCCGCGGGGTTCAGGACATGCAGCAGCTGTCCACTCCGCCTGAAACATCACTTCCTGACAGAAGCACTGACGGTAACAGAAAAGCAATGAAAATTGACCAAATGTGCATGAGAACGGTGAGAATATTTTTTACCAGCTGGAGGGTGCTAACCTCAATTTGTCGTAATCAGGAAACAGGATCCAAAAGTCCAAAGCAGCATTTAACAGAGAACACATCTGCGGACATTCAGGGACGTAGGAAGATTTAAGACCTTCACGCCACAGATAGGAAGCTGGATGGATGAACAGGTGAGTGGACAGACGGATGGACGGACGGACGGGTGGGCGGAGGGATGGACGGACGGGCGGATGGACGGGCGGAGGGGTGGACGGACGGATGGACGGGCGGATGGACGGGCGGATGGATGAACGGGCGGAGGGATGGACGGGCGGAGGGATGGACGGGCGGATGTACGGATGGATGGACGGATGGAGGGACGGGTGGGCGGATGGATGGACGGACGGATGTACGGACGGGCGGACGGACGGGCGGATGGATGGACGGGCAGAGGGATGGACGGATGGAGGGATGGACGGACGGACGGGTGGGCGGATGGATGGACGGACGGATGTACGGACGGGCGGACGGACGGGCGG